CCCCCCCAAGGTGCAGTAGACGCCCTCGTGCAGGCTTGGGCCGTAGCCCAGCTCCTTGCCCACTGCCAGCGCCAGGCCCCGCAGCTGCTCGTCATAGGCGTCTGACATGGCGGGGAAGCGGGGCCCGAACCTACGTGGGCGGAGGAGGGGAGAGAGCTTGTGTTGTGGTCGGAGACGGAGGCGCCCCCCATCCCTTCCTGGAGCAGAGAATGGCCCTGGGGTCCCCTGTGCTGGTCTCTGGCCAGGACTGAGGGTCCTGTCCCCGCCCAGGGGCTTCCACCCATTTCCCGGGCTTTACACTGCTGCCACCATTGACCATGGCAAAGGAGGGGCACAGCTTCAGTGGGGCTGTAGGAAAACACTGGGGGATAGGAGGCAGCAGGGGGGAACCCAGTGGGGGGGCAGCAGGGAAGGAGGACGCTGGGTGCCCAGGGGAGCAGCAGGGATGGAGCATGCTGGGTGCCCAGTGAGGCAGGAGGGGGCCTGGTGCCTGGCGGGGCAGGGCAGCGAGGGGCAGAGCAGCAGGGGGGCAGAGAGGGGAGGCACAGGGTGCCCAGCGCGGGGGGGAGCAGCTCCTACCTCTCGTCACAGGGGCCGCTGAGCGGGTTGATGCCAGCCAGGCCAGGCATGTTGATGTGGTCCCGGATCACCATGATGTCGCCCACCTGATACCCGCGGTTGAGGCCGCCGGCCGCGTTGGTGACAATCAGGGTCCCTGCACCCAGCAGCCGGAAGATCCGCACTGGGAACGTCACCTGTGGGGGGGGGGGGCAGGCAGGGATGGGGGCGGAGTGGCCACCTCCAAAATTGGGGGGGAGCAGCATCCAGTGCCAGATGCTCCCCAGCCCTGGGTACCCCAATACAGCTCTGCCAGTGCCCCTCACTCCTGAACCTGCAGCTCCCCTCCCCCCATGCCCCTCACTCCTGAACCGCAGCCCCCCGTGTCCCTCAGGCCTGGCCTTAAGGAAAATGGCGACCTGGGCAAACTTATATTTTGGTGCCCCTTGAGTTTCAGTATGTCGTACTTTCACTACAGGGTGTTGGGGCTGTAGTGAAAACTCTACTTTTTTTTTTTTT